CATTTGAGTTCTTCCAGATTTCAGGGAACATTAAAAAAAGCCATTATAAACATTCACATACAGGTTGTTGCATGGATGTAGGCTTTCATTTGTGAATACCTAGGAGTGAAATTATTTGATCATATGGCAAGTATATATTTTCCTGTATGAGAAAGTCCCTGGGTTTATCTGAGCCTCTTGGATCTGTGGTTTGTTATATTTCACTATATTTTGAAAAATTTTAGACATCATCTCTTTCAATATTCTTCTGCTCAGCTTCTTCTCCATCTGGAACTCCAATTACACACATTAGACCATTCTATATTGTCCCATAGATCTTGAATACTCTTGTTTCACTTTTTTGGGGGGGTGGCGAAGGGAGTTCAGTTTGGATAATTTTTATTGACCTCTCTCTTGAATTTCTTGATTATTTCCTCAGCTATGACAAGTCCACTGATGATCCCGTAGAAGATATTCTTCATCTCTGATCCCTTTTTTTCAATTTGCCTCTTATAATTTCTACCTCTTTGCTGAAATCTGTTCATACATTTTCTATATATATTTTTTTATATTCTATAATTATATTTTCGACTAGATTCTTCAAAATGTTAATCAGAGTTTAAGTCCCTGTTGGATAGTTCCAACATCTGGGGCATGTCCATACATGGTTTTGTTAATTGTCCATGAAAAATGGGTTGGTTTTGCTTTATGTATCTCAATTTTTCTTGAATGCTAGTCATTGCTTGTATAACAGTAGAGACTAAGGTAAATAGTATTAATGCTTGGAAATGGACAAGCCTCTTCTAATGTCAAGCCATTTTTGTAGGGTTTGGTCAATCTAGTCAGGAACTGAGTTGTTTGGGTTTTACTGCTACGGTTGCCTTCAGTGCACCACAGCTTTCACATCCTTCAGCACTATTTTGTGCTTTAGATTGGTGCTGAAGAAGCCTTCTCAGCTGTCCTGCATACTTGCACTATGGGGCTAAGTCTCTGCCCTTGCCCACCCCGCTAAGCAGCTGCTGTTTGTTACTAGCTGCCTGCTGGGTTAGTAGTGGGAGGAGGAAGGGGTCAGGGGTTCTTTGTTCTAATTCAGCCTCAGTCTTTAGTAGGTCCCTTGTGGCCAGTCCTTGGGAGTGGGTCTTCTCTCAGCATTCTTGCTCCTCCTCTTTGCAGCAGCCAAACCCCGACTTGTATCTGTGGCTGGCCTTGTGAAGGAGAGTTTCCCGCCCTTTCTGCAGTGGTAGAACTTTAATGGTATTAGTAGAGAATCTTGGGGTTGAAGACTAAATTCTGTCCCTTCCAAGGTTAAGAGTTTTTCTTACCTGGCCCCAGCAGCAATGGGTCTTTTACCTGTGCCCTAGAGAGACAGGATTTTCTGTTCCTCCCCCAGCGGCTTAGGTCTTTTTGTTCCTTATGAGGGAAGGGCCTGGGCAGGGGGAGGCAAGGTTTAATGCCTTTCCGACACTGGTAGCAAACCCCTCCTGCATGACTCCAAACCTAAGGAGGCTCTGTAGAGCTCCAGCACCACTCCCCTTCCTGTCCCCATGGGTCTTTCTTATGAACCCCTGGTTTTGGAAAAAGCCTGTGAATGCAGGCAAGCTTTCTTAGTGTCTTAGGCTCCCAGGGTTTTTATACTGCCGTGTTGGCCCAAATTTGGCCATTAGTGATTCTAGTTGATATTTTAGTTGATTTCCTCTTACCTGCTCATATAGTGGTCAACACTTCTTCCCATGCTCTGCTATAGGTCAGCCAGTCTGTATGTCTGTTGTCTCCCTGGAGGGGTCTGTTCCTCCTTGAAATTCAGGCTATTTGAGTGCTCTGCCACATTAGCTCTCTGACAGGTCCAGTAAAATTTATGATTTTGCCATCTATCCATCTTTTTTGGTTGACTGGGAGTGACATTCTTTCCAGATCTCTACATCACAGGCAGAAGTGGAACTCCTGAGTCACATCATTTTACTTGTGTTTAAAAAAGAAAATTTGATTACTTCTATAAATGGAAAATTAGTATCACATGTTTAGACCTATTTTTTAGTAAGTAGCTACTGTTGTCTGCCAAAGCCTCTGAGCCAGAAGACTATATTTTTTGGTTTTTGTTTTTTTGAATGAGTGTTAGATGTTACAAACGAAAGCATTGATACTTTTTCCTTGATTTAGTCAGAAGTATGGGGAGGAAAACACGAGGATACAACTTTCTCACTGGCTGATTCCATATTATTTGTTACTTTCATTTAACACTTAAAATCACTATCTTGTGTAGGTGGCTCATCTATTTTTCACTATAGATGTCCCTGACCATAAGAAAATGAGGATAAAGTACAGTACAATAGCTCCCTCACTTATCTACGGGGAACACATTCCAAGACCCCCCACGGATGCCTGAAACAAGGAATAGTACTGAACCCTGTATATGTTTTATCCTGTACATACATACACACCACCTTTTCTCTTCAAAGAGCATTCTACACTTCTCCTTGGCATATCCAAATCGCCAGCATCATTATTCTTGTGTTTTGGGGCCATTATTAAGTAAAACAAGGGCTACTTGAATACTAATACTGCAATACTTACCACAATAGTCGATTCAATAACTAAGTGACTAACGGGCGGTTTGCGTAAACAGCTCGCATAGCTGGACGAAGGGATTATCCAGTCTTGATTAGTGGGACAGCACAAGATTTTATCACGCCACTCGGAAGGGCATGCAATTTAAAACTTATGAATTATATCTGGAATTTTCTATTTAATATTTTCTGACCAAGATAGACTGCAGGGAACTGAAATCCAATTGAGCAAATGACTTAGCTCTGAGCTTCCGAGTTTGCTCCAGGCTGCTCTTTGAATGGAATACAGGAGAAACAGATGACAAAGGGGCCTGGATTTGGCTCTGAAGGCGTTTGCAATCCAGTAAAGGAGCTACATACATAGAAAACCCCAATCAAGGAAGAAGCAAATGCTCTGCAGTACTATGATGGGAGATTGAGAGAGATGGGAGCAGGAAAGGAATTCTGAAGAGTGTAAAAAGAGGTAAGGGTACTGTACACAAACACCAGAACAAAAAAGCTCAAGTAAGATATTTGGCTTATGACAAAACAGAGGCATACAGATATTAAAAATAAAGATAAAAGATCAACAGCTAAATAAATAAGGAAAAGGATGACAGAATTAGTCAACAAATATTGGGTGCCTACTATTCGACAGCCATTGTTCTGACCTCTGCAGAAACAGTAATTTTTTTAAAAGATAAATTTCCTGGCATTGGAATTTATGTTCTAGTATGAGAAGTCAGAAAATAAAGTATACAGTATGCAGATGGTATTTAGTGCTGTGGGGAAAAAAAAGCTCTAAAGCGGGACAGAGAATATATTTAGGGGAGGGCGCTTTACATCATTAAATAGGATGGTCAGGGAAAGCCTCATATGGAAGGAAATATTTGAGCAAAGGCCTGACTGCGTGAGGGTGAGAGACACCTGGGAGGGCTTTAGAGACAGAGGGAAAATCAGTACAAAGGCCCTCAGAGGGCACATGGCTGGGAGACTCAGAAACAGCACAGGCTCATGTGGCTGGGGTGGGTGAGCATAGACAAAGAGATGAATTAGGGAGTGGGTTTCAGGTCACATAGGACCTCATAAGCTATTGTTAAGGACTTTGCCTTGCTCTTGAGCAAGCCGAGAAGCCTAAGTTTTAAGCGGAGAAATGACTTAATCCCTCTGGCTATGTTGAAATTGACTAAAGGGACTAGGGTGGTTTCAAGACTAGTTTGAATGGTACATAATAATCCAGTGGTCTTACAGATGATGGTGATTTGGCTCAGGATAGCAATGTTTGAGAGGGTGTAAAGTGGTCACAGTTTGAAGACGAGCTGACAGGATTTTGCTGACTTACTGGATGTGCCATGTAAGAGGAGCAAGGGTGATGCCAAGGTTTTTATTGTGAATAACTGAAAGGATACAGCTGCCGCTTAGTTAGGGACCAATGCGGGAGAGGCAGATGTGGTGAGAGAAAATCCAAACTGTGGTTTTCAAATTTCAGACTATTCTAGAATTGGTATGTAAATTTAAAAGATGGCCTGAAACTTGAGTGAGATCACTAAGCGTGAGCAGAGAAAAAAGGAGTCAAAGAAACAAGGCCTGCTACACTCCAAGGCTGGGAAGATGGGAAAGAACTAGCAAAAAATACAAAAGTTGTGAGGTAAAAGGAAAATCAGGAGTGCTGTGTTTTGGAAACTAAGTGAGGGAAGTTTTTCAAGAAGGGAGACATCAACTGTCAGATTGAGAGTAGATAAGGACTGAGAACTGACCATGTATTTTAAGTGTGGATCGCTGGGGACCTTGACGAGAGCAATTGTGATGATGTGGTGAGGTGGCAGCCTAAGTGGGACGGGTTCAGGTGAGAAAGGAAGGAGAGGAACCGGAAGGTGGAGTTGTTTTGCTGTCAAAGGAGTAGAGAAACAGGGTGGCAACTGAAGAGGGGTGTGAGGTCAATTTCTTTTTAGATGCGAGAAATCACAGCATGCTGCTGGAAACGATGCAGGAGAGGGCTGGGGAGAATTGCTCAAGTGATATCCTTGAAAAGGTAAGAGGATGAGACTGAGTGCATTAAGTGGTGGGGCTGGCTTGAGACGGGAGGAGGGGGAACAATTCATTTACAGTAAAAGGAGGGAAGAGTTATACATACGAGTACAGAAAAAGTGGATGAGTGGCTACTTGTTGGGGTTGGGCCATTTTATATATTTGAAAGGATATCTTTGGCAGCAGTGACCCAGGATAAAGGCTGGTAGAGACCTAACAACATTTATATAATGGTTCTGAGAATATGTTTATAAGGAATTCAAGTAACATCGATCTATGTCATGTTACAATGAACTAACATGGTATGAGGTTTTGGCTTAGTTCCTTTAAAGAAATGGAAGAAGGGAGCATGCCCCACTGATTCTCATATTCTTTTGGCTCCACCTCTATCATCTGATTCTGAGCCATGCTATTACGAGCAGTCTTCATGAAACCAAAGAAAAGACACACTCGAGCTTTGTCTGCTTTATTTCACTACATTAGGCAATAAGGCAAAACAGGAACCTGTCATTCATAAAGATCAAGGAATGCCTCTCATTCCCAAAAGGGACCAAAAAGGATGTTTCTTCACAAATATGTATGACACTTAGCTCATTACATCTATAAGCACTTTGAACAAAGAAAAACTTTGGTGGGCTAATCAAATCATGAATCCAAACTTACAGCTTTAAGTTTCCAAAATTGTAGTTTCTAGTGCTAATGACATCTAATTTGCCTGCAGTGGTGCACACTGACTATGCGTTAAAAATCTTGCACCTGATCTAATATAAAAAAAGCAACAAAATTCTGAATTCACTAGCTACAGGTGTTGAACCACGTCTAACACAGAATACTGGCTTGCACTGAAAACTATCTTGAGGAAATATTAAACCAATGGCTCTGTCATTCTGCAAGTTAATTCAGTTTCTGATGAAAAAAATTCTATGATCAAGTGTTTTTGTGTTTCTGTGTCACAGGAGGGTTGATGAGACCCATTCCTTCAACGTTATTACCTTTGGGAAAAAAATGCCAGCTACATGCCATAAACTTATGACACACAATTATGTGTAGTCTATGCAAATGTGCAAACATAGGAAGCTATTCTCTACTTTGATGCCTATTTCCTCCACTGGCAAATATGGAGGAGTGGCTTCACAGTAGGCTCTAGCAAGTAGTGAAATAAAAATTAATTTAACACTTGGGTCACAACAAATTAAACTATTTCTATAGTCTGCATATTTGTCATTACACAATCCTTGCCCCCACTCCTAAGAGGCTAAACCTTACTTATTTCTGTCATATTAGAGATATGAGTATTTTTTCTTACACTGCAGCATATATATTACTCTGTGGAACATTGTTTCATAAAATTTGCTTGACCTTAAGAATACAATTTAGTGTCTTTCAAAGGCTTCCTAAATATTCTTATCTTCCAGGGGGAGCTGACAAGATACTGTGTCCTGTCTGTATTCTACATTACTATACATCTTTTTTTTTTTTTTTTTTTTTAAAGTAAAGGCTTGAACTTAAAAACAAAACCAGGATAAACAGGAAGTTTCTTTCACCAGAAGTCCATTGGCCACTGCTCACAATGCTTTTATAGAAAACGTAGTGCAGCTGGTTGTCTACTTTGTCAAGTCTCATTTTGGAAAACATCACAGAAATTAAGGTTAATAATCCAACTCCAGGATACCAACCGAAAACAGCACGTGGCTATGAGGCAAGTGCTCTGGGTTACTTGCTGAGCTATTTTACAGTTCACAATCAAAATGGTCTAATTTGACATACCATATAATAAAAGTCGAACTCAAGAAAGGTTCTTTTTCTTAATATCCAGTTTTGGATTCAAGAGATTATAACTTAATTTCCTCTTAAAATCAACGGAAAGAACATTAGTTCAGATCATGCTAAAAATCTAACCTTTAAATGTTTTCTGCATTCCAGAAGTGAACTTGTCCACCAAGTTTTCTTTGGGCTCTTTCCAGGTCCCGAATACACACGACAATCTACTGAGTTAGAGAGGCAGAGCAGAGAAGGGGTAGGGAGTAAGGCATGTAAAGATTGCCTCCCTGTGGCAGCATTAATCCCTGGATATTATGGCAACATTTAAAATGAATGGAATTTGCCACCCCCTTGACATGACATGTAAGTGCTTGCCTCTCTAATTCTTAAAAGTTTCATAGTCTACTGGGAAAAAATTTTAAGAGCAGTCAATAAATAAGTATACTGTATTCACTTAGAAGGGGGCAAATCAAAGCGCCTTAAGAATTTCAGAGGCTCTTTCACTCATCACAAAACCAAAGACAATGTGACAACTGTATTTTTCTGTCAAATGGAAATCTATGGCAAGATGGGAGCCATGATGGCAAGTGAAAGGTTATGTTTACAGACTGCTAGTTTATATCTAATGGAATGCAGAAAGCAGTTGGTACAAGTTGAGACCAATACAGGATCATGGCTAGCAAGTCTACCTTTTGGTTATCATTTTAAGTTTCATTTGTGAGATTGTGATCCTTTGTGAGATCAGATCAGGAGACAGACAGTGTGTCAGAGTTTCACAGGTGGTAAATCTAATGCCATTCCAAGGAATAGCCATCCCCTTTCTCAGGATGAAACTATGCTGTTGATATTCAACGTGCAGAGTTCAGTGAGGGAGACACAGATATACTGGTGTTAACAGAAGTGAGAGCAAGAGGAACAGCAGTTACCCAGCGTTCCTAATGCCTTGCTTATGTCCCCACCCTCCTAGAAATAGGATTCAGTAGTGCACGGCTACATCATTATAAACAAGGCCTACCGAAGCAGCAGCTTCCACATTTTAACACAAGCTTGTGGTGATACTGTCCTTTGGGATATGCCCAACAGATAAACCTTTTAAGGAAGAAGCGGGCCCAAGCTCAGTTCCACATGCTGGGTGAGCCAGATGACTTCTGAGCCCTGGTCACCTTCTTCAATGGGGCGGATGGGGGCTGCCAGGTTTTTAAAATCATGCTTCATCTTAAAGCACACGGTCACTTCGCCCTCCTCACGTTGTGGCGTCACTTTGATGAAAATACCCACTTTGTTGGCCTTTCTGAAGGCTATAATGCTACGAAAGGAAATAAGCACAGTATTAGGAAGGTCACGAGTCAGCCAAGCCACTAAGACTTAGTCATTTTAAGGCTCAACAGGAAATCTCTGATTATAAGATATGATCACTATCCCGTTTATCTGTAATGAAGAGTTTCTTCAGCAAAATGTTCGTTTCATTTTTTTTAGGTTAAAAAAGTAAAATATAGTCAAATTCAAATGGGGAAAAGTAAAAGTCTTTGCCCTTATTTTCCCCTTCAGCACAAGAGAAAAACTGTAAACACTTGGGTTCTTAACCTACCAGATATTTTTCTATGAGTTTATACTTTTCTGTTTTAACCAACGGAAAAGGGACACATTATTCTACAACTTGCTTTTTTTCATTCTGTTTACCACAGACACCTTTCCATATTGGTACATTTAGATCTTCATTCTACTTAATGGTTACCTAATAGTTGATTCTATATTTACCATAACTGGTATACACTGAGGTTTTTGCCAGTGTTTCTCTTATAAACAAGGGTGCTGCAAACATCCCTATACATTCATTTACTTTTGTACGCGTTTGTATACAAATATGCTAATGTTTCTGTAGGACATAGACTGATACTAGCTCAGAGCTAAAAGAATTTCTAGAATAATATAAATTTGTGTATTTTTGTAAATAACCTATGTAAATTAGGAATTTTTAGAATAGAAAACAATCTCTTTAGTTGAGGTTTTCTCTGACTTGCACTTGAAGTTTGTGCTTTAAAAACAGCTTCATAAAGTGAAAGGGCAATGAAATAAACAGAATTTAATCTACTGTCCAAATGATACTCTTGGAAAAGTTACTGGAATTAAATATTTACATATTTAAATGGTATTACGTAACATTAATTTCCAGATATCTAAAAGTCCTATAAAGTATAATATGAACTATAAATCAATTTTTTATTAATGTCATATAATTAATCTTACTGGAATTCTATACCTCAAATAATCTTTCCAGAAGTTTACCTTAACAAATTTCTGTACTTAGTGTAATTTAAGGACCCACATAAAGCAAAAGATTACAAAGAGTGCATTTTGTATTGTAGTTAATTAAACCTTTAATTTGTATCAGATTCATTAAAAAATATTTGGTTGAAAATAGTAAAAAGGAAAAAGTCTGTCTTTCTGTCCTTAATTTCCTAGGCAACTACTGCCATCCAATTTCTAGTGCCTGCCTAAACCTGCTAAAGAGAACTTGTAGAGTGGAGGCTCAGACTCTATAGATTAACAAAACAGAGCACAACACCTGCCCTGGTGCTTTCTGAAGTTAACCCAAGTTTCACAATCACTATAATAATCTCACCTTTGCCCTCACTTTATTTTTCTAATCCATCCCATGTTCTCTCTTCTTTCTATCTTGCTGAGGGAGCTTTTGATTATTCTGTTAAAAAACCTTAAACATTCCCTATGTCAGTATATTATTATTACTAAGGTCCACACCCACCTCCTCCATCCTGCTTTGT